GCATGAAGTGTTTCACTTTACTCCCTTCTTATTGGCATGGTTTCTGAAGAGAAATTTGTTGTAATTCTTATCCTTATTTCTATAGGTAAGGTGGTTTCCCCTCATCTGGCTTCTTTTTTAGAGATAAGTTCTCACTACATTGCCCAGCCTGGTCTAGAACTTGTGACCCTCCTGTCTTAGCCTCCCAAGTACCTCTCTGACTTCTTGTAAGACTCCTCCCACCTTTGTCTTTGTCTTTTTCAGTTTAACTTTTTATTTTTTCGGTACTGGGGATTGAAACTAGAACCTATATACTGAGCTACATTCCCCCTTTCTTCTTGATGTATGTATGTATGTATGTATTTTTTGAGACAGGATCTTGCTCTGTAGTCCAGGTTGGCCTCAAACTCACAGCAATCCTCCTTCCTCAGCCTCTTGAAAGCTGGGATTATCACTCTCACCAAATTTCCAGGAAGTAGTTTATCCCAGAAACCTCAATTTTCAGATGACTTCAAGAAAAGTTGCTGATTTTTCAATTTGGTTAGATTTTTTTCTTGTTGTATGTATGGGGTAATGTCTTCCAAGCTCTTTACATGTTAAATCTAAAATCACAACTACTTATTTTTTAATAAACTGACATCATTCTGCTTCTTTTTTATATACAGATATTTTAGAAAATATCTCAACCATCTTTTTTCATTTTATGAAATTTCATATAAATATTATTTTAACTATTTTCTAGATCTTTATGTATGCTCTGGAGCAATATGGCCCAATAAGATTTTCTGCAATTATGGAAAAGTTCTATATATTTATTGCCTGACAGAGTAGCCACATATAGTTATTGAGCAGTTGAAATGTGTCCAGAGAATCTGCAGAAGTGGATTTTAAACTTTATTTAAATTTATTTAATCTTTATGAGCATATTTATTTAATATATGTTTCTCACACCAAACTGTAGGCTCCATCAGAGCAGATCACACTGTTGCCACTCTATCTCTGGGGCCCCGCACAATGGCTGTCACGTATTAGAACTTCAGTAATCAGGGCAAAGTGGTGAGATGAGCTGATACCACGGGTCTCAGGCTTTGCGTCTGGGAACAGACCGTGCCATCTGGGAGCTCATACCCTCTAAATGAAGAAGAAAAATATGTATTCTGTGACTTAGGAAATAAGAGCCAGGGCCGAGGATACGACTTCTTGATTTGTTCAAAGTGTTTGGGACAAATTGCTTTGACTATCTCTTTGGGGAGGAAAAATCACTTTAACTTTCTCTAAATATATATTATAAGCCAAACTCATCCTTCTAACTATTTTACTAAACCAAGTTTTATTGGAACATAGCCACATTTATTCTTTTCCATATTCCCTATAGATGCTTTTGTAGTACAACAGCAGAGTTTGGTATTTGTGAAAGGTAGTATGGTTGGCAAAATCTGAAATATTTGTTATTTAGCTCCTCATAGAAAATGCTTGCTGACCCTATCCTAGGATTCAACTGTGAACACCTGTTGCCCAGGGATGAGACAACAAAAAAATAGTCTCATAACCAGGAGCCAAATTAAACTTCCGGCTGGCTCTATGGAAAGATTTTGAAAAAACAAACAAACAAACAAACAAAAAAACAAATAAAAACCCTTCAGTAATACCAAGGGCCCAGTTAGGAACAACTCATGTTGAAAGACTATGAGATCCAATGTGAATGAAATGAAATTATGCTACTAAAATGTGCCTGTAAATCAGAATTTTAAAACACACAAAGAGATAAAATGCTAAGTCAGTTAAAAATCACTATTCAACATGAGTTAATTCTAAATGGAAATAATTCTAAAGGACATTCTGCAGAGCTTCAAAAATAAATATATTTAGAATATTCAATGAGAAAATAGAGAATTAATCTCCTTTCGAAAATCCAAAGATTATGAAACAAAATAAGGAAAAGTGAAGCAAGAATATTGAATTAGTTAGAGTTCACTAGGGTTCACTTTGGAAAGCTGAACAGTCTGCACTGGCAGCTTGAAGGGATTGGAGACAAACAGTCAGAGGCAATGGTGAAATAAGGAGGTTCTCAAAGAAAGGAAGGAAGGAAGGAAGGAAGGAAGGAAGGAAGGAAGGAAGGAAGGAAGGAAGGAAAAGAAGAGAGGGAGGGAGGGAAGGAAGGAGGGAAGAAGGAAGGGTGAGGAAGAAAGAAAGGAAAGAAAGAAGGGAGGGAAGAAGGAAGAGAAAGAAAGAAAGAGAAAAGAGGGAGGGAAGGAAGGAGGGAGGAAGGAAGGATGAGAAAGAAGGAAAGAAAGAAAGAAAGAAAGAAAGAAAGAAAGAAAGAAAGAAAGAAAGAAAGAAAGAAAGAAAGAAAAATTTTTCTTTTCTTTTTTTTCCATCCAGGCTAAAGGCTGTTGGTTTTTGTCCTTCATGTCTGGGTGTGGGTTTTCCCTCCTTTGTTTGCAGCCTACATGTCAATCATTCGGAGACACACCCAAGTTTTACTAATCTGCTAGGTAGTTGACACAAGTTGACACATCACAACTAACACAAATATGTAGACATGAAAAGGAGCCAACTGGAAATCTTGGAAATAAAAAATGTATTGCGATTGAAACAAAAATGTGATTGGTTCACAAAGGCTGCTATTACAAAGTATAACAAATACAACAGTAGAACTTTATGGTTCACAGGCCTGGAGCCTAGAAGTCTATAAGTAAGGTGTTAGCAGGGTTGGTTTCTTCTGAGGGCTGCAAGGAAGAAGCTATTCCATGCTTCTGTCTTAAATTTCTGAAACTCTACTGACAACCTTTGGGATTCCTTGTATCTTGGTTACTTTTCTCTCATTGCTGAGACAAAATACCTGACACCCAAAATTAAGGAAGGAAAGGTTTATTTAGCTCACAGTTTGTGGAGGTTTCAGTCCATAGTTGGCTGGCTCCAAGGCAGAGTGGCACATGGCAGAGGGTGGAAAACAGCAAAAGCAACAAGAGCAAAAGGGAGGAGCAGGTGGGAAGATCAAGCCTCTTTCCCTCCCTTACATTGTATGCATACTATCTGCCCCAGGGAGGATGTAGCACTCACATCCATGATTCCAACATTGGACCATGAATCAATCATAAATTCCAGAAGCCTATCCCATGACTGCATGAGGCTTTGGGGGAACGTTCAGACACAAACCATAACACCTTGATTGCTTGATGCAGTATAGTACTCTGATCTCTGTCTTTGCCATCAACTGGCATTTTCCTTGTGTGTTTATGTCTGTCTCCAAACTACCCGTTCCTATGAGAATATCAGGCAGATCAGACTAATGTCCACTCCAATGACCTAACTTCAACTGAGTTACCTTGGTGAAGACACTATTTCTAAATAAGTTAACATTCTGAAGTATTAGAGGTTAGTGAATCAACACATCCATTTGAGGAAGCACAATTCCCTCCTAGCAATGAAAATACTTCTAATTTGTAAAAGCTGAAAACTGAATTGCAAATTTAAGATAGTATTGTGAAATTCACTTACACTATAACCCAGAGAGACAAAAATGTGTGTATGTTTACTAAAACTCCATATATGTCTTTATTTATTTCAGTTAAAAGATGTGAAGAATAGATTGAAAAGCCCCGACACTGTAGCATATTTAGTATTGTAGAAAACATTGCTAGCTGTTTTTTCAATCACCATTGCTTTTCCTCTGTCTTTGATAGCAGAATCTTGACTTTTCAGGGAGGCAATGTGCCTAGTCAAAAGTAAATCCCAGACTCTCTTGCAAGTAAGATAGTCATCCGAACCACTCCAGGCAGGGAGATATCAACAGCAGTCCTTAAGTAGGCCATTCTTTTCTTCTTATGTACAAAGTTAAAGCCCTGTTAGAAGAAAGCGTTTCACCCTGTGGTACTTCTCCCACTGGCTCTTATCTTACCTGATTTTATAGACTAACTAAACAAACCTTTGGCAGATAATCTCTACTTACTGAAGTAAGTAAAAGCTATTCATTTTATTGTTATTATATCATTAATAATAAAGCCATTTAAGAAAAAATTAGTCTCACATATAAACATAAATTTAGATATCCTAAATAAAACTCCCTCCTCTCTTCCCATTCCTGACCAAAATCCAAGATGAATTGACTCTAAGAATGTAAAATGATTTAATATCTGAAAATCGATCTACACAGTTAAAATGAAAGAATATGACCAATTTAGATATAACCGAAAAGCACACTTAAGGCATATTCACGCATTCTCATACTCACTTATTTCATAAAATCAAGCTTGCAGAGTAAGTGTTGGGAGCAGAGAGTTGCTGTTTTGTATATAAGGTCTACCCTTTGTAGATGGCATCTGAGTAGAGGTAGGGAAGGAAGAAAGGAAGCTAGTCATGTTAATATCTGGGGAATAACATTAAGGATATAAAGTTTGATATAAGAGTGTCTGTATAGTTGGGTTGAATGGGAGAGTTAGAAACATCATACCACAGCAATATATGTGCGCCCGTGTTTATAGCAGCACAATTTGTAAGAACTAAATCCTGGAAATAACCCAAATGTCCATCAACTGAGGAATGGATAAAAAAGATGTAGTATTTTTACACAATGGGGTACTACTCTGCCATAAAGAAGGATAAACTGGAGACTTTTTCAGGTAAATGGATGCAACTTGAGACCATACTTATAAGTGAAATAAATCAGACTTGCATGTATAAACATTGTATTGTCTCCCTGGTATGAGAAATTGAAAGAGTAAAGAAGGTCTAAAATGTACAGTATATATATTGTGAAATGGGAAGAAACTGTTTAAAAAGAAAAAGGAACTAGGATGGGGGGAAGAGGAAAGGAAGGAAGGGAAAAGGGATGAAAAATGCAAGTTAGTTATACTATTAGTGTCTCCTAGTTCATACAAAAGGAAGGTTTGTGCTAATATTGATTGGAGAATTTTTTATGCCCATATTTCATACTCTGAGTAATGACTTCAGAAATAACAATATACAGTGTATGAACTATTGTTATTCTCCTATCATCTTGTTATGACATTTTGTCTTACCTTTTTTTCCATAAAATACAAAAAGAATGTGTGTAGTGATTTTCAATTCATAAATAAACAAACTCAGTGCCTGTGGATAAAAGACAACAGTCAACTGTCAAAAACTATTAGAAATCTCACAAAATTAATGATAAAACTTTATTAAACTATATTTCCATTTCCACCTACATTTACTGTACAATAATCTAGATAGTCAAATGAGATGAGGAAATAGAAGTTACAAAAATTACAAAGAAGTTACAAAACAGATTTTATTTACAGTCAACATATTTGACTACAGTCCAAGAGAATCCACAAACTACAAGAAATAATTAGACATTGAAGGTTGCTGGATATAAGAACAATACAATAAAAATCATTTGTATTTTTATATACCAGTAGTGGGCAATTGCAAAAAATAATGATATCAACAATGATAAAAAGTGCCCAGAAACAAATCATACCCAGGAGATCAGCAAATTAAATACAGATGTTCCTCAATATTTAATAAAATTATGTTCAGTAAACTCATTGTAAGTTAAAGATGTAAGTTGAAAATATGTTCAATACACATAATCTACCAAACATTATAGCTTAGCAACATAATACACTATAAACTGTTGGTTGCTTACCATCAATTGGATGCTGATTACAAATTGCAGCTCACAGCCACTGCCCAGTATCTCAGGAGAGTACTATACTGTATATTGCTAGCCTAGGAAAAGGTCAAAATTCAAAATATGAAGTATGACAGCTACAGAACGCATGTAACTTTTGCACCATAGTGAAGCTGAAAAACCATAAGTAAAACAAGTGCAGTTTGGGGACTTTCTGTACTTAACAATTTAAAAGATTGGAAAGAATGTAGAAAAATTGGGACCTGTGCATATTAGGAATAGGAAAGTAAGTTAATACAATGACTTTGAAAAATGATTTGATAATATCTACTAAAGTAGAATGTATACAAATATTTCTACTAGTATTTCTTATTGTAGGTTTATACCTTAGAGAAAATTCAGTACACTTACTCAAGAATATATCTTCAAAATTATTCACTGTAGCATTTCAAAACAATAAAGGTTTGATAACAAAGTCCATGATTATCAACAGAAGAATGATATTTTTATATAGCATTTGAAATGAATAAACTAAACCCATATATATCAATTTCTGTGGAGAAAGCCTGTTTCAGAGAACCATGCTTCACATAAACGTTGGAAACAGAATCTAGTGCTATGTGGATACATGAATATGTAACAAAACATAAAATATTGTGAAAATGGTGAACATTTAATGCAAGATAGTGATTCCTTCTGGGCATGGAAGAAGGAAAATGATATAAAGAGGATTACTTTAACTGTTTTTATCATGCATCCTTTCTTGTAAATTATCTGAAATGTATATATAACAACGTCAATGTTTAATAAAGCCAGCGGGTACAGATATTATTCCTTAAAGTATTCCGAGTTTGATATATTTTGTATTTTCCAAAATTGAATAAAGAAGATGACATCTCTAACTCTGCAGATCACACAGACTTGAAGAATTAGTGTTTCTGACAGCTGAATGTCTGAACTCTGGTCTCTTAGTTGTTTTTTTTTTAATTGTAAAGAGAAGAAGAACAATAACAAAGGAACAACAATGAAGGCAAAAACAAAACAACACAAGAACAACAAAAAAAAGGTATAGGATTTCAAAACAAGATGATAGGAATCAATAATTGTTGTTGTATTATACAATGCTTTCTTCAACGAAGTTGCTCAGACCACCAGAAGCAAGAATGCAAGATTGATGAAACAATTAAAGACGATAACACGTAATAAAAAATATTAGTAATGATACAGAGCTTCATCAAACAAGATGGCAGGAATTCCGGTTGTTATATTGCATATTGTTGTCTTCAAATTAGCTATTCTGATTAACAGACATAAGCACACAAAATTGGTCAAGAAAAAAAAATTAAGCATTCACTGTTCCCTTCAACAAACCAATAGACATCAGCAATATACTTATACCAGCTATCCTCATCTACATACATATTTTTTCTTTTTTTATTTTAAAGAGAAAAGAACAAAAACAAAATAACAAAACAAACACAAAAACAAAACAAGATAAAACAATGAAAATGATATAGAATTTCAAAACAAGGTGATAGGAAATTAACAACGGTTGTTATATTACATATTGTTATCTTCAAAGTGGTACTCAGCCAGATACAGGCATGAAAGACTGATCGAACAATTACACATTAACTTTTCAATAAACCAGTGGCTGGTTTGCTCAGTTGGTTAAAATGTGGTTCTAAGAATGCCGAGGTCACAGGTTCAATCCCTGTATGGACCATTTGTTTCTGCTCAAAACAACAACAACAACAACAACAACAAAAACCAATAGAAACTAGTAGTACAATTATCTTACCTATCTTGTGTATATATAGACATATCTTTTTCCTTCCTTTTTCTTTTATTTTCTCTTTTCCCTCATCCCAGTTGTTCTTTCCTATTTGAGCATTTTGATTCCTTTCATAATATCTATTGTACCTTTCAGATATTATTTACACTTTCAGGTTCTTATACTAGGGAGGCAATACAATATTTACATGTGTGAGTCTTATTTGTTTCACTTATAAGTATGGTCTGTAGTTACATCCATTTACCTATAAAAGTCTCAAGTTTATCTTTCTTTATAGCTGAGTAATACTCCATTGTATAAAAATACCACATCTTTTTTATCCATTCCTCAGTTGATGGACATTTGGGTTGTTTCCAAGATTTAGCTATGACAAATTGCACTGCTGTAAACAGGGGTGCACATATATTGCTGTGGTCTGATGTTTTCAGTTCTTCTGGAAAAATACCCAAAAGGGGAATAGCTGGCTTGAATGGGACCTCTAGTCCTAATTTACTAAGGAATGTCCAGACTGATTTCCACAGTGGGTGCATCAGTCCACACTCCCACCAACAGTGGAGAAGCATTCCTTTTTCCACACAGCCTCTCCTGCATTTGTTATTAGTTGATCGCTTGATGATAGCCATTCTTTCTGGGGTGAGATAGAATTTCAGTGTTGTTTTAACTTGCATTTCTCAAATGACTAATGACTTTGAACATTTTCTCATATATTTATTTGCCATTTGTGTTTCTTCATGTGAGAAGTGTATATTCATCTCAGATGGCCATTTTTGGATTGGGTCTTTGAATTTTGGGGGCCTGATTTTTAAAAAGTCTTTATATGTTCTAAATAGGAGTCCCTTGTCTGAGGGACAGTTGGCTAAAATTTTTTCCCAGTTTGTGGGCTTTCTGTTTACCCTGTTGGTGATTTCTTTTATGTGCCAAAAAATTTTCAATAAGATGAGATCCCAGTTGTTGATTCTTTGAAGTATTTCCCATGCAGTTTGGTTTTTGTTCATGAACTGTCTGCCTACCCCCAAGTCTTCAAGATTTTTACCTACTTTCTCTTCCAGTAGATTTAGTGTTTCTGTTTTAATATTTAGGTCTTTAAGCCATTTTGACTTTAGTTTGGTCCATGGTGATAGACATGGGTCTAGTTTTAGTCTTGGCATGTGGGAAGCCAGTTTTTCCAGCACCCTTTATTAAAGAGGCTATCTTTCTTCCAGTGAACATGTTTGGCCCCTTTGTGAAAGATAAGGTGGCAAAGTGTTTTTGCGGTTGTGGCTGCATCTTCCAGTCTGTTTCAATGATCTTCAGGTCTGGTTTTTTTTTTTTTTTTTTTTTGCCAATACCATGCTGACTTTATCACAGCAGCTTTGTAGTATAATTTCGAGTAAGGAATTGTGATACTTCCTGCCTTGCCTTTGTTGCCCAGGATTGTTTTTGCTATTCTGGGTCTCTTCTGATTCCAAATGAATTTTAGGAATGTTTTCTCTAGGTCTTTGAGGTATATTAATGGTATTTTGATCAGGATGGCGTTGAATCTGTGTAACAATTTTGGGAGTATGGCCATTTTCACAATGTTGATTCTTTCTATTCATGAGCAAGGAATATCTTTCCATTTTCTGAAATCCTTTTTGATCTCCTTTTTCAGAGTACTGTGGTTTTCACTGCATAGACCTTTTACTTCTTTTGTTAGACTGATTCCTAAGTATTTCAACTTTTCATATTGTGAGAAGTATATTTTCCCTAATTTCTCTCAGTGTGTTTATTGTTTATGTATAGAAATGCTATTGATTTTTGAGTGTTGACTTTGTATTCAGCTACACTACTGAATTTGCTTATTAATTCTAGGAGTCTTTGGGTGGAGTTTTTGGGGCCTTCCATGTAGAGTATCAAGTAATCTGTGAATAAGGATAATTTCACTTCTTCCTTTCCTATCCTTATTCCTTTTATTTCTCTCTCTTGTCTAATTGCTCTGGCAGAACTATGTTTCCAGAACTATGTTGAATAGGAATGGTGACAGTGGACAGCCTTGTCTTGTTCCTGATTTTAAAGCGAAAGGTTTCAGTTTTTGTTCATTTAATATGATGTTTGCTGTTGGTTTGTCATAGATGGCTTTTACCAGATTTAGGTAAAGTCCATCTGTTCCAATTTTCTGTACAGTTTTTAACCATGAATAAGTGTTGGACTTTATCAAAAGCTTTCTCTGCACCTATTGTGATTATCATATGATTCTTGTCTTTGGGTCTGTTGATACAATGTATTATGTTTATTGATTTGTGCATATTGAACCATCTCTGCATTCCTGCCATGAGTCCCACTTAGTCATGGTGTACTATGTTTTTGATGATGTGCTGCATTCTATTAGCTAGTATTTTATTGAGAATTTTTGCATCTATGTTTATTAGAGAGACTGGCCTATAGTTCTTGTTTTTGGTTGGAGCTTTCTCTGGTTTTGCTATCAGGGTAATACTTGCCTCCAGGAATGCATTAGGGAGAATTAATTCCCTTTCTATTTCATGAATGAATTTGAGAAGAATTGGTATTAAATATCCTCTCAGCTTCTTGTAGAATTCAGCTGTGAATCCATCAGGACCTGGGCTTTTCTTTGTTGGTAAGTTTTTTATTACATTTTCAATTTCATTGTCTGATATTGGGTTATTCAGGATTTTTATATCTTCTTGATTCAGTTTTGGTAATTCATATGTGTCTAGAAATCTGTCCATTTCCTCTGTGTTTTCCATCCTATGAGAGTAAAGATTTTCAAAGTATGTATTGATGATCTTTTGAATTTCTAAAGGATCTGTAGTGACTTTACCCTTTTCATTCCTTATTGCATGGATTTGAGTTTTTTTCCTTTTTGATAAGGTTGGCTAGGGGTTTATCAATTTTATTTATCTTTTCAAAGAACCAGTTCTTTGATTCATTAATTCTTTGTATTGTTTTCTTAATCTCAATTGCATTAATTTATGCTCTGACCTTTATAATTTCCCCCTCTCTTTGGTCTTTGGACTTGACTTGTTCTTCTTTATCTACAAGTTTGAGGTGTGGTGTAAGGTTGTTTATTTGTGTTCATTCTGTTTGCCTCATGTGAGAATCCACTGCCATGAATATCCCTCTGAGAACTGCCTTCACTGTGTCCCACAGGTTCCAGTAGTTTCTATCTGCATTTTCATTTGATTGTAAATATTGTTTAGTTTCTTCTGTGATCCATTGGCTGTTCAGGAGGATGTTATTAAATTTCCATGTATTTATGGAGGTTTTGCAGTTTCTTCTGTCATTAGTTGCAAATTTCATTACACTATAGCTCAATAATATGCATGG